TACCCCCACTCGGCTGCAATTTGCTGCCTTCACATTTTGCCTTAATGTAGGTTTTTCCACTTGATTTCCTAGGGTTTGTCTTTCCATTGTTTTTCTCTGTTTTTAAATTTAAAAGGATTAGAAAAAAAAAGAAAAGTGAAAGAGAAGCCTGTTTTTGTGCTTGCCTCCAGGCCCTGCTGCCCAGGCTGTGAGGAGTCAGGCCCTGTGCCCCTGACCCGGTGACTAAGGGTGCAGACTGCAGTGACCAGGCCGAGTTCTCTGGAGGAGGCCGGCTCTCTTTCCTGGTCTGGAGCCCCGTGTTCATCTGCTGCCAGGGTCACAGCCAGCAGCCGGAGGGAGTTCACAGGGTTTGCCCAGGTCTGGACATTGCAGCAGGAGGGGGCTGGGCAGGGAGTCCCCCTGGGAGCTGTGGGCGCAGTGGCCTGTCTTGGCAGCTGAGCCTCTGGCCTAAAGGTCCAGCAAGGGTGTGCCTCGTGGGGAGTGCATGGAAGAGTGAAGTGAGACGCTTTGGGAAGTAGGAGCTGGCTGAGGGCTCAGGTCATCCCTGTGTTGGGCAAAGGCAGGCACCTGCTGTATGAAGCCTTTCCCTTAGCCTGCCCAGGCTGAGCGCACCCGGTGGGCACACCCCCATGGTAGGTTGAGGGTGGGTGGGTGGGGTTTCTTCAGACTGGTTGAGTATGGAATCCTGACTGTGGGCTGGGAGAGGAGGGCCTGGTGTGTGATGTGGGGCTCACAGAGGCTTGCCCACTTCAGGTTGGAGGGCAAGGAAGCCAAGCACAGGTATGGTGGGTGCCTGAGTGGAAACCAAGTCCTCTAGGTGCCTTAGGGGGACGCCTCAGGCGCGAGCAGTCCCAGGCGGCTGGGCTGTCAGCAGAAGAGTAAGTTCATTTCAGCAGCGAGCCTCCCTCACTTGGTGGTGGGAATTAAAAGTCGCCAAGTGCTCTCAAGGCCTGGGTTACAGGCGAGGCAGCAGCTGCCTGCCTCTTGAGCTGCATGAACCCGAGCCTCCTGCTGGGGCGAAGCCAGGTGAAGTGTGGGGTGGGGGAAGGTGTAGCCCCTGGAGGTCCGCTGGCATCTCCCACCACCCATGTCCTTCTCTGCACTCATTCCCAGGCGTCTGCTGGGCACCCCCACCCAGGCTGTGAGTTGGTGGGGGCTGGGGTTCTCAAGGCAGCACCCCAGCGCCCTGCCTGGTACTTCGTGGGTGAGGGGAGTATCTACTGCTTCAGTGAAATGACAATAGTGGTCAGTGTGCCACACACACTGTCATCATGTACACCAGCGCCTGCGGGCCCCAACCCCTGGTCCCAACCCCTGGCTTAGCTGCCTGCTTGACTGCTCCTCCCTCTGGTCTCGCCGCCCCACCTTGGGAGTCCCTGAGGATGGATCTTCCTTGCTACAACTTCTCAAGGACTGACCATGCCAGACCCTGGAAGGGAGGGGAGTGTGTTAGGGAAAGGAAGTGTGGTTGAGAGGATGAGTGGGCACACTGGCCCGTCCTTGGGGAGTATAGTCAGAGGCTGATGAGCCCACAGACCACCAGCCTGACCTGGGGGATTCTGGCCAAGGTGGGCTGGGCACACATGCCACGGGCATCAAGGCTGCAGACTGCAGCAGGACCACAGGTTCATTGCTGGGAAACCTTCCATGCCATGCTTTCAAAAGGGCAGGTGCCTGAGGCCTGGGGGAAGCTGAGGGTTCCCATGTGTCCCCAAGGGAGGGCTGGCTAGGGCATAGCTTGCTTGTCCTCAGGAGCCCAGTGGCCGGCAGGAGGGGGCAGCACTGACCAGGGTGCGGGGAGACAAGCAGCCAGCTCTGCAAACAGCATCCCTCCTTTGCCCTGTGGATGCTGCTAGTTCTGCAACATCTGTGTGGACCCATTTCACAGAGGAGCCAGCTGAAGCTCAGGTGTGTCCTGCCCTGTTCTCCAACCAGCAGTGCCCTGGGGGACTGGAGCAGCCCTCTGCCACTTGGACTCTGTGGCTGGGTGTACCTGATAGTCGCATGGTAGAGCCGTTTCTGAGTCTGATCATGTTTTCAAGAAAGAAAACCTGGCTTGAATGGGAGCTTCCCACCGTGGAGCCCTCCTCCATCCCCGTCCTCTCATTTATAATGTATTTTTCTTTATTATGCTGAAAGAGAGATTGATAGAGAGGAAGAGATCTCTCATTTGCTGATTCAGTCCCCAAATGCCTTCAGCACTTGGGGCTGGGCCTGGCTGAAGCCAGGAAGCTGGAAGACAATCCAGGTGTCCCTCATGGGTGGCAGGCACCTAGACGTTCGAACCATCCCCTGCTGCCTCCCAGGGTGTGCATTATCAGGAATCTGGAATGGGACATGAAGCTAGGAATCTGGGCATCCCAAATGGTGTCTTAGCCACTGCGCCAGTCACCTGCCCCCTTATCTTGGAGTCAGCATGACTGAAAGCGATGAGTTCCCTGCCTGGCCTTAGCTAGTCCTTCAGGCACCTGTTGAACACCTTCTGTGTGCCAAGCAGTGTCCTAAGTGCTGGTGAGAATGCAGTGGTGAGACAGTATCTACCTCCCTGCAGTTTTTACTTATATTTCTGGACATGCTTGTTTTCACATAATAAAAAAATATGTGTCACTTGTACACACACAGGCCCTGTTGGGCTGTGGCTTGCTCCATGCAGTTGTGGGTCTGCAGGACTCATCCTGCTGATCTGTGATTCATCGTCATAACCACGTCCCGCCGGAGGGACTCAGTGACTGGATCTCTGGTTGTAGTGGTGTCAGGGCAGCGCCACAGTAGGTATCTGGGTATGTTCCTGTGTCTATGAAGGCACGGCGTCCTGGAAGGCACATGCAGGGGAGGTGGCTGCTGCGGCAGAGCCGGCCTGATACTTCCCTGGAGGTGGACTCTGCCCTAGCTGCTGTGTGCCTCTGGACTTGGCTCCATCCCTCTGGCCTGTCTTCCCTCTTGGCACTTGGCTGCCTGGCCATGGTATTGGCTGTACTGACACACGGGTGGCAGGAGCTGCAGAGGAATGAGCATGGACTGGAGAATGGTGGGACACCTAGGGGGACGTCAGGACTCCAGACTGTGGCCCCATCCCAGAACCTGGGGGACAGGAACACTGTAGCCTGTGCTGAGATGGAGCTTGTTCCCCAGTTTGTGGCCTGGTCTTTGGCTGTGTTTGCGGTCTGGATGGACTCATGGCTTTTCAACATGGGCCTGGAGGAACAGCATTGGGAAAGTCTGAAAGCATGTCCTGGGCATTACTGAACCCTTCTGTCCCCCAGCACTACGAGTCTCCTGTTGCACCCCCCTCTCTCGGGGTTGCAGGAATCTCAAGCCTTCCTGAGGCCACACGTGCATCTCCAGTCCCTTGTGCTCGTCCATCCTCGCTGACCCAGCCTTGGTCACCTAATCCTTGCTGCATGGGCACAGTCAAGCCTGCAGGAGTGGCTGGGTGGGCATAGCACGTGGGTCCAGATCTCTCCCAGGATCTGCTGCCCAGAAGTGTTACTTAACCTCACAGCTTCTCCCTGGTGAAAGCAATTAGCTCCAGCCCCTGCCACCCCCTCCTGGAGCCCAGTAGCTCATCCGCCCCCGCTGGCCCCTCCCAGCCCAGCCTCTTCCTCTTGTCCATCTGTCTCCCCAGATGGGGGCCGAAATGTTGCAATTGGCCCACTTTCTCGCTGGAAAGAAGCCATGTGGAGGGCTTAGCTGGTTGCTGAGTGGCTCCCAGTTCCTTGTTCCACTGCTTCCTTCAGCCCAAGTTCTTGGGTTCTGTGCCTTTTCCAGTACTTGGCAATTCCTGGGTGTCCTACAAGAGACCTGAGAAGGCCATGTGTGTGTGTGTGTCCATGGCTCCTGTGACCCTGGTCCCAGCAGGGTGTCTGGAATGGAGCAGCCACTCCCTGGTTCCTTGTGGGTGTGCTTCATTCGCCATGCGCTGCCCTTCTGAGACCTGATCTCAGCCTCATGGCTTTGGGCAGCCTTCTGTGACTGCCACTTTCCTACTCCTGGGGCGTGCATGGGCCTGTGCAGACAGCCTGGATGGCTCCAGCCTGAACCTAGAGGCTGTGTGGAACTGCAGGGGTGGCCAGCCAAGGCAGCTGCTTTGAGGCATTGATGGGCTGGAAAGGATCCTGTTTGGTGTGGGGAGCTGGAGGAGGGCAGTGAGGGCAGTGGGAAAGGAGAAGGCTGTGCTTTAGGACTGGGGGCTGGTCGTTTAGATGCATGCCCCTTCTTTTCTACCACCACTAGGGACCTTGGCATCTTGTTTTCTGTTCTTCCCCTGCCCTCATCCGATCCCTCAACTTCCCGCCATGCGTCTGGACCACAGGAGGGCAGAGGACTGTGGCTTTGAAGCCCCAAGGGGCTGCTGTGCCTGGGAGCACTGGACAGACACGTGTGATGAGAACAGGAGCTGCTGGTGAAGTGCAGGGGCACCCAGGGGCTCTGACGGCTGCACAGCCTGCAGTGGGTCTGGCCGCGCCGGGTGGCTGCAACCTGCTGCCGTGCACATTGCTCTTACTGTCTCATGATGGGAGGAAGTGGATGTGGGGGTGCTGGTGGGGTGATTGCCATACAGATAGTCTGCCTCCCCTGAGCACTCACTGTTGGGGGCACAGTCCACTTACACACATTAGCTCACTCCTTTCATGACAGCCTCTGATGTGGTGATGCTATTGTCCCCGCTTTCATGAGTGACACAGTTGGACAGAGAGGTTCAGTCACTGGCCTGAGGCCACGCAGCAGGAAGTGGCAGGGCTGAGATATGAAGCCCAGAAACTGGTCCCTAAGTATGATGAAGTCTGCATCTTGCTGCCTCCAGCTACTTTTGGGGTAAATTGAGGCAAAATGTACTTAAGTGGCATGTCCAGGGTCGCCAGCCTTCTTGACTGTGCCCTTACTCCTGCCGATAGAGGTCGGAGATCCAGGGCTGGGGGTCAGGTTCCATGCTGGTTCCTGATGGGGCATCACTGGTGCGGAGGCCCAGCTGGCCCAGACTCATTGTGCCCCTCCCGCAGGGGGTGTGTGCATCGCCCAGTCGGTGAAGATTCCACGGGAGCCCAAGGCCGGCGAGTTTGACAAGATCATCCGGCGCCTTCTGGAGACCTCGAACGCCAGGGGTGTCATCATCTTCGCCAACGAGGATGACATCAGGTGAGGGAGGGCAGGTGGCTGTGGAGTGATCAGGTCAGCCTGACCCCACGCAGGAGGCAGAGGTGGGGTCGGGAGGGAGGGTGTGAGCAGGGTGAACCTCCAGTGTGTGCCCACTGCCTCCTCCCTCCCCTGCATCCCCACCCCCAGGGAGGGGGTGGCAGGTTTCAGTAGAATGGCCTTGGAGACAGACCTAATCCTGCTCTATCACCTCATGCCAGTTCCTTCACCTCTCTGGGTTTTTAGGGCTCATGACAACTGCCTGAGGGCTTGAGACCTGAAGGCTGAGTGGGCAGAACAGGCTTGGAGCCTGGTCTGGTGGAGGTGGGTCCCAGGAACTGCTGGCTGTCCCTCAGCCCACCCCGCTTCCTGTAGTGAGTTCTGGACCATGGGTCTGGCCCTGGCACGGTCACTGGCACCATCACCTGGGCACCTCTGAGTGGAAGCAGGTAGACTGTGTGCTGGGACCCTGTGCAGTCCTCTGTGTCCTGGGTCAGAAACTTAGGTGCTTGTGATGGCTGGCTGAGTGCCCTTTCCTATCTGCCTGCCTCCTCTGGAGCTCTCTTAGCACTCTGTCCCTGAGACTGACTGACAGGGAGCCAGGCCTCAGAAGCTTTCCAGTCAGAGAAAGGCACACAGATTCATCCTTAGGAGTCCCAGTGCCCCTGTCTGAGGTAGGGAGACACAGCCCTATCCTCATGGAGCCCTGGTCTGAGGGGGGGAGACATAACTCCATCCTCTGGGAGCCCCAGTCTGAGGGGGAGACACAGCACCATCCTCAGGTAGTCCCAGTCTGAGGGGGAGACACAGCCCTGTCTATAGGAACCCTGATGCCTGCGGCTAGCTGGCCTCTCTTCAGGAAAGACCCCTTTTGAGCTGCAGTCTCTGTTTCCCCACTCTGACACTCCCTTCCTGCACCCCGGCTCTGTACCCTGTTCAGTGTTGCTGCTTAGAGGGGGCCTGCAGGTGTTGTGGGCCTGCTTGTCAGAGGTGGAGTGAAGGGCCGGTCCCTTATGGCGAGCAGGAAGTACCTGGGGGAGGGCAGGAAGGGATTGCGCATGTGGCCTGGCAGGTGCGGGAAGCGTTCTGGGAGAGGGGGCATTTCTGGGAACCTATATGCGTTTTCAGACGCGAACAGAAGTAAAAATAAACCCCAGTGACGTGGCAGGAGGCTGGCTGGACACTCTGGCTGCCTGGGACTGGTATTAATAGGGCTGTGGGTGTGTTCTGGGAGGAGCCCCACCTTCCCTTGGGGGTGACCTGAAGGGAGGGTTGCACCTGTGAGGGCAGGGACTGGGCAAGGCTAGAGCACAGACTGGCACAGGCCAGCCCCAGACCCACCTGCAGACCCTGGAAGCTCCAGGTCCTCCTGCCCAGCTGGCCTCTGCTTGTACAGGTCTAGCTTCACCTTAAGCCCTGATTCAGGCCAGACTCAGTGACAAGGCCCCCAGCTGTGGCAAGGCCCTGGGGTTTCTGGTGCCGCCTGCAGGCCTCTTGCCTGTGTTCAGCCCATGTCGGCCCTGTGGAGGAACACGGTTAGGGGAATTCTGCCCCTTCCTCCCTGCTCTCACCTCACAGGGGCTACTTCATTTATGGGGCCAGCAGGCTGCAGCTGAGTGCCTCCCAGGGTCTCTGGGCCCTGTGTGGACTCTTGGGGTTCTGGGAAAGGCCACTGCCATGGTAGGATTGTGGGCACTGGGGAGCGCCTGCAGCTGCAAGTCAGGGAGTCCGTGTTAGAAGGATCACAACCTTAGGCACAGAAAGGGGTAGGAGGAGGGCGCACTGCTGGCAGGGGCACTATTGAAGAGGGGTGAGGGTATAGTAGTAGAGAGTGTGTGTGTGTGTAAGGTTGGGTTAAGGGGTGTGGGTATGGTCCAGGAAGGCACAAGCCTGAAGCCTGGGACTGGGCAGGTATAGGGCAGGTGCAAATCTGGGAAGACAGGTGGGTCTGAGGGAGCCTCCACAGGTTGGGGGGCAGGTAGGAGTGAGGGGATAGCTGTGGGCCATGGACTTGTGGGGGCCAGGATTGGGGGTCCTGGAGCAGCTGGCGGCCTTGGGCTCCTGGGACTCAGAGGTGTGTCGTGGAGGGAGACCTCTAGGGAGCCTGGGCTGCGAGGGGACAGGTGTGGACTGGGGGACAGTTGTATGGACAGACACGGCTAGGCTGGCTGGTGCATGTTCCCACAGGCGTGTGTTGGAGGCAGCCCGCAGGGCCAACCAGACGGGCCACTTCTTCTGGATGGGCTCCGACAGCTGGGGCTCCAAGATTGCCCCCGTGCTGCACCTGGAGGAGGTGGCCGAGGGGGCTGTCACCATCCTCCCCAAGAGGATGTCCGTGCGAGGTAGGCTCAGCACCCAGGCCCACCTGCCACCAGCACCACTTTCCTCTCCCTGCAAGTTTTCTCTCCTCGGTCTTGGTCCTCCTTTAGCTTCTTGTAGCCTGAGTGCTCGGCCAGCCTTGCAGGCCACACTGCCCACAGTGGAGTATGAGCCCTGACTCAAGGCCTCTGGGTGTGGGCAGCCTGCACAGGCGGCCACAAGGAAGCTCTTTCAGCCCCGTGTTTGCGTTCCTTTTTCCTGGTTGGGTCAAGGGGTACGAGTCCTCTGCCTAGAGCACTGGAAGCTAGCAGCAGGGTATAGGAGAAAGTGCCCTGTGTGGGTATGGGGTTCCTTCGCAGAGCCTGCCTGGACCCTGCTCTGCACCCTGCCTCTCGAGAGAGCACCCACGGTCACCCTGGGTAGGAGCAAAGTGCTTTGGCCAGAACCTGGCAGGGAGTGTGAGGTGTGACGTCACTATCCATGGCCCCATTTGTCAGGGACCTTACAGTCTCCCTCTTGGCAGACAGTGCATCCTCTTCCTGGCCTGCAGTCTGCCCAGGGGACCCCAGCACTGGCGGAGTTGTCGCTCCAGGAACCTGAGGCCTGCATCTGGGAGACACACAGCCAAGCTCGCCCCATAGAGTACTCTCTCAATCTGGAGGCACTGGAAGCTTCCCCATGGTCCTTCTCAACTCCAGGCCAAAACAAATGAGAAAAGAGCAGTGACAGTGGTTCTTGGCTTACTGGCTGTGGCTTCCAAATGCCAGGTCCTTTGCAGCATCCGTCTCTACATCCCTGAGAGGGTGGTGCTTCCAGGTACCAGCGGACTAAGCAACACACAGTATAGTCAGGGGCAGAAGTTGGGCTGGATCTAGGCTTTTCTGGCCCCACTGAGCTTCTGGGCCTCTGGCTTGTCCTGAGCCACTTACTCAACAACACAAAACAGCCAGGGTGCTAGGAAGGGGCTCCCGAGGTGGGGGGGCCCGCCCATGCTGGCTGGCCACTGGATGGGGCAGCAGAGCTGTGAGAGCAGTGGAAGAGAGAGCCTGCACTGTACCAAGAGGACAGGTGGAGGAGAAGGGAGCTCAGGTCCCCAGCTTGCCAGGTCTCATCTGCAGGTGTTTCCATGGTACCCCCTTGATCCCAGACCTCCCATGTGGCTCCCTTATTAGTGTTGTGGCATGGTAGGCTGCAGAAACACCCTCGCTGGGGCACTTGGCCGCCACAGCACAGCAGCTGTAGCTTACACACGCTCCCCCTGGGACCTAATATGGCTCTTTTCATTTGGAATGAAATGAAATGCTCCACATTTTGCTTTTGCCAGCTGGGCCCTGGATCACAACATGCTCCTCCCTCCTTCTTTCTCTCTCTCTTCCTCCCTTCCCCTCTCCCTTGGCCCAGACCATCTCTAAGTTTGGGGGCTAGGGGAGGGTGTGCAAGGGGTGATGCAGTGCCCTGACATCCTGCCATCCTGCAGGCTTTGACCGCTATTTCTCCAGTCGCACGTTGGACAACAACCGGCGTAACATCTGGTTTGCAGAGTTCTGGGAGGACAACTTCCACTGCAAGCTGAGCCGACACGCACTCAAGAAAGGCAGCCACCTTAAGAAGTGCACCAGTGAGCATGTGCATTCGAGGGCATGAGGGTGGGGTGGGAAGAGGCGGAGGAGGAGGGGGAAAGTTCGGGAGATCTGAGGGCTGATATCCAAGGTGGGGATTGGCCAGTCTCCAGGGGTCGAGGATTGGGATGGCAGAGGCTGAGTTGGGAGGTCTGATGAGGGATCTATGGGGCAGTAGTGCCATCTGGGGGACCTGGGGAGATGGTCTCAGAAACCAGTGCTCCCTCCCTGATGACAAACCATTGCTGAAACTGGCCGCTTTGGAGTTCACCTGCAGTTCCCTGGGCTAAGCCCATAGACCCAGCTTGACCTCACAGCCCTTTGTCCAGTGCTGACACACACAAGTCTGGGTGCTTTGCCAAAGACCACCTGTAATGCCTGGGTGCCCTCTGTTACCTCATGACACCAGGGCAGGCCTGACCCTGTGCTGAGCATGGTGGACATGGCGGTGAACCAATGTCACAGGTCTCTCAGGCTGTTTGTGCTCCTGGGGAGACAGTACACAGTCATCTCAGAAGGGAAACGAGCAGGTGAGAGATGGTAGGAGGGGTGTCTAATGGGGAGAGGAACTGCAGAGGGTACACTGGAGCCCCCCAAGGGGTCCATGTTACAAGTGGGAAAATGGAGACTGAGGTACTAAAGTTGGAAGGGGGCAGGCTCCAGGCCCTCAGCCCCCTGGATAGGCATCTTGGTGCATCTCCATGAGGACGCAGCCTGGGTAGTGTGAGTGGGACCTCAGTGGGGATGAGGAGTCCCTCCTGCACCCTCCCAGATGGCTGCCACTAGAGCAGAGGGCCAGGAGGGCCAAGAGCATGCTACAGGGCATCCTTAACAGACAGGGGTCCAAGGCTGCTGGAGGGGAAGTGAGCCCCTGATGGGAGTGAACACAGATAGGAATGTACTGTCCTCCTGGTTGCCAGTCCCTTGGGGACTCAGGCAAGTTCAGAGCCAAGGCGATCATGCCTGGCTGCAGAGTGAGTGTGGGTTTTATGAATGACTCTCTGTGTGTGTGTGTGTGTGTGTGTGTGTGTGTGTGTGTGTGTGTGTGTATGTGAGCCTGAGAGAGGAGGGATGTGTGCACCTGTGTGTGAGTACTTCTGTGTCCATGTACACCTGTGTGTGTGTGAGCACCTCTGTGTCCATGTACACCTGTGTGTGTGTGTGTGTGTGTGTGTGTTGTGTACCTGAGAGAGGAGGGGTGTGTGCATGAGCATCTTACTTGGATGAACTGATAACTGTAGACATCATTGCTGACTAAGCCACTATGCAACTGAGTTCCAGACCCTGTAAGCTATCATCTCACTTGACTCTCATGACATCTTTAGGAACCCTTACAGTTCTCATTTATAGACAAGAATATGGAAGGTCTGAGAGAACCGGTGTCTTGTCTGAGGCTGCACAGCCAAGACCTTATCCAGGTGGTCATCAGAGTGCAGGTGTGAGAGGTAGAGACGTGAGGGCAGGGAGTCTGAGGCCTTAGTCGGGTTGGTGGTGCATCTAGAACTGTGTATACGGTGTGGGGCATGTAGGCCAGGGATGGGGCTGGGATGGCTGAGACCAAAAGTGGGGCAAGATGAACAGTTGGGGCCTCATGCCACATGACTAGGCTGTCAGGGGCTGAGGGGTCTCCGGAGTCACCTCTGTGTGGGAGGGTAGGAGGGCAGAGGTGTGGCGGCCTGCCCCTGGGGGCTACACACACACTCCCAGCCTTGTGTTCGGGTTAGGCTTGCTGTCTGAAGGGAGGTGGCTGGTGCAGGGTGTGGGGCAGCGGGGGCAGGGGACTGCAGCAGGGCTTGGCTGTGAACCTAAGGCCAGCATGGTGGCCTCTCTGGGCCTCTGCGTTCTCATCTGGGAGATGGGATTGATGGTGAGCCGACCCGGAGGGTGTCTCAGGGAGAGAGTGCGAGGGAGTGCTAATGGAGGAGCTTGCTGAACCACTGGACTGTGAAACGGCGCGGCTGTGCCGGAGGGAGACGCAGCTGGGGAGCTTTGAAAGCTATCCCATCCCAGTGCCCCACCCCCATCACCCCAATCCCCACCTCAGGCCTGGGCTTTTAGAGCCCTGCCCCTCCAGTGATTTTAATGTGTCTGGGGATTGCAGCTGGGGTTCCCAGACACCTGCTCCCATTGACTCATCCATCGGCATTCTAGTGTTTGACTTCCGCCCTCCCATTTTGGGATTTCCTTTATCCTGGGTGCAGCCCCAGCAGCAGGGCTTTGGACAGTGCTCCTGGATAAAGGAAGGGAGGGAGACAGTATGTCCAGGCAAGGGGAGGGCGTGAGCAAGGGTGAGGAGAAAGTTTATGCAGGCTGGCTGAGAAGAGCTGGTAAGTGCACGTCCTCGCCATTGGCAGAGAGAAGAACTGGGAAAGATAAGATCCAGTTGGCAAGTGGACCCCCAGGGAGGGAGTGTGTGGGGGTGGTGATGACAATCACAGGTGCATCACCCATTTTCCGGAAGAAAACACTGAGGTAGTTGGTAGACATCACAGTGCTATGAGGTTGGCAGAGCCTAATTCCCACCTAGGCAGCTGGCTTGGGAGCAGGTGCCTGCCTTCCCGGTCCCACCCTGCCTCTTTCCCCACCTCTGTCCTTGCCCACCCAGGTATGTCCAGAGATCTCTGACAGCTTTAGTCTCAGCTCCCTGCTCGGGTTCTGAGCCTGGCTCCTCCCCCACTACCTCCGGGGTTGGCCCACAATGCCCTCTGGCTGCCAACACAGTCTAGTGCTTATTTCAGTCCCACCAGCATCCTGCCATGAGCCAGGCTTGTCCTTGTCCTTGCCGTGTCCATGCCTTCCCGAGGGCATGGTGACCTTCCAGAGCATCAGAAGGAGTGGCTCTCAGTGGGGTCCTGCTCTGGGGGAGATTGCCACCCAGACTGCCTGAAGTGGGGGTTCCTTCCAGGTGAGGACTTAAGAGTAGGTGGCTTGTTTGAAAGGGGTCGCAGGAAAGAGGAGGGGAGGCTGTGATGAGGTCACCCATGCCACAGCTGGCACTGGTCGTCTGAGCTTCATCTGCCTGGTTGTCTGAGCTAAGAACAACAGACCACATTGGGGGCGCCCAGGGGTGAGTGTATACCCAGCCTCCACTGGTCAATGTTGTGGGGCAGAGATGCTGGCCACCAGAGAGCTGGCTGGGGAGGGTCCGAGCACTGAGTCCAGAGGGCCAAGTTCGGCACCTGTTCGGTTCTCATCCATCGGCTGTCAGAGTCCTCAGACTGCGTGTAAATCCTGGGGCTGCCACTTGCTAGCTGTTTGACTTCCTGAGGCTTCAGTTTCTCGTCTGTAAAATGAGAATCCTGCTCCCCACTTGTGTCCTGCGGGGCAGAGCATTGCCTGGCTCCCTGTGTGGCTCAATGGATACTAAGCTGCAAGAAGCACTTGCAGATGTCCCCAGGTGGGCTCTGGGTCGCCCTTGGGGGCTCATGTGCCACTGTCAAGCCTGGGGAAGGGCAGCGCTCACCTCCCTTCTCCTCTCCTCCGACCACATCGGGGTGAAAGTCATCAACCAGGTGGATATGGCATCCGTCTTGCTGACAGCCCTGCCAGCCAGGTGATGGCGCGCGGAGAAAGGCCGGCTTTATGAGGAGATGGAGAAAATTTACTGCCTGCTGTTCCCAGGGGCCCAGAGCTCTGGGAGGGAGAGTGGTGCGTGACGGCTGGGATGTGTGGGGAGGCGGGCGCTGGCTGCCTGGCCTGTGCCAGCAGCGGTAACAGCCATGACAACAGAACCGAGAGGAGTAGCAGCTAATACTGATGGAGCACTGATGTACGGCCAAGCTCTGCCCTGGTGCTGTGCGTTTCATGAGGTGAGGAAACCAAGGCCCAGAGAGGTTGAGGACTTACCTAAGGTCACACAGGTCGCAAGCAACAGACCTGGAATTTTCCCTGGGCCGCGTGGCTCTGGAGATGTCTCAGGCCAGCTGATGTGTCAGTTTGAGAGGCCCTCACCTCAGCCTCTCCGGCCTGCCAGTAAAGGGTCTTTCCATCTTCTGATCCACTCCCTAAATGCCTTCAACGATCAGGGCTGGATCAGGATAAAGCCAGGACCCAGGAACTCCATCCGGTTCTCCCATATGGGAGCCATCCTCTTCTGTCTCCCAGGCACATAAGCAGGAAGCTGGATGGGAAGTGGAGTGGCTGCACCTAGAAATGGGGTGTGGTTGATGCAAGTGGTAGCTTAACTTGTGGGACCAACCTCAAGTCACCCTCAAGATTGTGCAAACCATTGGCCACGTGGCCCTTCTACTCCATGTTGCTTCTCACTTGTTCATCCAGGAAACCAATGAGGGTTTATTCAGAGGCTGACTTTACCTGCCCCATGCTGTGTTTGTTCAGGAGGACATGTCTGTTCCACAGAGCTACCTGCCAGTATTAGGCAAGCTGGCCTGCGGACAAGGTGGCCTGGCGGGCAGGGCTGGGAGGGCAGGAGAAGGCTAAACCAGGAGACCAGGGAAGGCAGCTCACCTGGGAGGCCGGGTGTTAAGGACTTTCTAGAAGATAGTTGAGGAAAGTCATGCAGGCGCTGGGTTAAGGAGCCCAGGGAGAGCTAGAAACCAACATGCCAAGTAAAGGGCAGGGCCTGTGCAGAGGCTCCAAAGGGGCTCCTGCCTGGCTGGCATCAAGTAGGAGGCCTGTGCAACTGAAGCAGAGCAGCAGGTGGATGAGCAGCAGCCAGACAGGTGAGGCTGGGGGTGGCCCAGTCACAGGTGGTTGGTGAGATTTAGCCTTCTAGGCAGGATAAAGTGCAGCCATCCTGTGCTGGGTCTGAAAGAGGATTCACTTGCTTGACAGGAGCAAGGGCTGGGCCCGGGTGAGAGGAGGTAGCTACCGGAAAAGGGCAGTGGTGAGGATGGGTGAATCAGGCCGGGTGGCTCTGGAGTTTGCTGAGAGCTTCCGGGCAGAGAAAGATGTAGAGAACCGGGGGTAGCATCTGCGCTTGTGGCCTGGGCCAGCAGGCCATGCATGGTCAGGCTCTGAGATGGAGTGGGCAGAGCCA